AGCGTCAAGCACCCCCGTACCCCTCAAGACCCTTATCCCCATTTTAGTAATGCTTGGGGACCCGCTACACCTGCTCCTTGATGGATCCAGTCACCTGCAGGGCCAGTCGGGTCATGACGCCTCTGTGCTGAGTCTTCCCTCAAAGAGCTCCCTGGTACTCTCTATAGCTCCCTAGGCACAATAAACATTTTGGTGAGGTTGACAGAAGCAGTGTTTCATAGGGGAGTCAGAACATGGGTGATGCACTCTGGGTGCTGGGAAAGGGCTGGACCTTAGTTCTTCAGGAGGAAGACCCAAGGTGCCTAAGGGCCCTTCTTGGACCCTGTAGTCCCCAGCATCTGGCCTAAGAGTATGGTACTGCTGGTTTAGCTGCCCAAAAGCTCCTGCTACATTCCACCCTGCTCTGTGTGTGCCCTGGGCCCTGGGAGTCACTGTAGACAGATTCGGCATTCAAGTTCTTCAAAGTAGAAGGCTGTTGCGATGTCTCTGAAGGTAAGAGTACTTGCTGCTAAGTCTTATGACCTGAGTTTGATTCCTGGGACCCAAGGATGGAAGAAGAAAACCAACTGCCCTTTGACTTCTGACCTTTGCACCATGGCACACTTACATCCCGACACAGTAAAATGAATAAAAATGCTAAATAATAATACTGAGGGAGGTGCTCACATTGGCCTCTGGTTTCTACTGGCACATACAGATGTACACATGAATATGTAAACACACACAGAAAGGTAAATGTATTATTTCGTTGTTTATACTGGACACAGTATAACTTGTTTAACTTGTGTGTGTGCTAGGACGCCATTGTCTATGCCTGTTGAGCAGGTACCTGGAGTCCTCGGGCTTCAGCCTTTCCATCTGGATTTACAAGTGTACCATGCCTTAAAGTACCATTGTTTGAGAAGACAAAAATGTTCTGAAATGTTTGAGGGTAAAGTTCAATGCCAGCTGTAATGTGAATATTCTGCAAAAGTTAATAGAATAATAAAATAAAGTTAATAAAATAGAATTTAAGAAAAACACTGATTAGCCAGGCAGTGGTGCCCCACGCCTTTAATCCCAGCACTTGGGAGGCAGAGGCAGACCGATTTCTGAGTTCCAGGCCAGCCTGGTCTACAGAGTGAGTTCCAGGACAGCCCGGGCTACACAGAGAAACCCTGTCTCGAAAAAACAAAAACAAAACAAAACAAATACTGATTGTAAATTTGTCAAAATGTTGATAATTCTTCCATCTGGGGCTCATTATGGTATTATTTCTGCTTTGTAGCCAGTTTAAAGTTTTTCACTCAAATTGGTAAAACAAACAAACAAAACAAAGCAAACAAACTGAAACCAGCTGCTCAGTAGGAGGCTGAGAAACAAATCCCTGCATACTTTAGCAGCTTAGAACAAGAAGCAGCATTATCTCCGGTCCTTAAGGTCTGGGACAGGCCCTCTAGTGGAAGAGGATGGACAGGGCTCTGCTTCCTAGCTCTGGCACTGGCAGGTTTCCCTGGGTTCCCCTGTGTTGTGGTGAGCAATACAATAGGGATGGGAGAAATGACAGCTATCACTTCTGCCATATTCTGATTCTGGGAGGGATCAGACAGAGGTGGAAATGCAGGCAGACATCAAGGTTGTGCCAGAGACTCTAAAACCAGGATGTACGGTACACAGTGACAAGCAGGGAAAGCAAGACATGGGAAAGAGTGATGGAGACTTGAGCAGAGCTGGAATGTTCTACACGGAGCCTCAAGAGGACACCTTCAAAACAGCTACAGGTAGCACACCTTGCTAGGACAGGCAAGAACCTGTGCAAAGGCTCTGGTGAGCAAAACTAGAAGAAAGTAGGAATTGAGTATGTTTGGCTGATGGCACCCTTCAAATGTTAGCACAATTCACGAAGTTACTAACCACTCTCACCATGGTTCTCATAGGTTCATGACAGCCCTCTTGTACATCCTTGAGAAGACTTTGGTTCTCATAGGGCCTCCTCCTGAGCACACCCTTCCCTGAGCTCCATTCTCTTCAGGTGGCACCCGCCCCTATTCTGCAGGCCCTGTGTGGATTCTCATCAGCAGTTGCTGCAACCTGAGTGCTGTCCTGTTGGATTATTCATCTCTCTTATTAGATCTCAGGTTCCAGAGACCTTGTTTTGGTGAAGGTGTCTCAGGGCTGACAGGCAGCACACAGAGGATGGCGACTCAGACAACGGGAGGGTATTGATGGGAGAAAATTGCGTGGGGGAGGTCTCCAAACGTTTACCAAATGTACTGTACTTACTCTTGTATTTTGGTTTGTTACAACTCAGCTTTGGAAAGAGACGTGTTTATATCTAAAGTGATATGAAGGGACGAGTGTCCAACAGTTTGGAGGCCCTCCAGGATAAGCCCATGGGGGATAGACCTGAAAGAGGACCGGCATTGAAGAGCGGCAGATGTGTGCACGGTTGCTAAGAAGGACCCAGAAAAGTGGAGGAGCACAAGGGGTAAGGCCATAGGAGATCTCTGCTAGGATGCAAGGGCTACAGGGCAGAGCCCTGAATAGCTCTGAGGAGCCTACTTCCGAAGGGGCTAAACCTCTAAGCCCCGCCCTCCGAGTGCCTCCAGCCCCGCCCCACACGCTAAACCCCGCCCTCTAGGTCGGCCTCAAGTGCAAAGCCTGGTCCCCGGAAACAATATCAACCTTGAGTCCTGCCCCTCCCAGCAGTCTCGACCTTCTGTCCCTCCAGACATCACAAGTTCCGCCCCCGAGCGGGCGCCTTAGCTAGCGAGCCGCGGAGTTCGTACTTCTGCGCAGGCGCCCTCAGCCCACATCTGGCGTGGCTCCAGCGGCGAGACGGCCCTGCTGTCATGGCTCCTCCGCCATTGTCGCTGCCGCTTTGCATTCTGCCACCGGGCTCGGGCTCTCCCCGCTTGGTATGCTTCTGTGAGCCTGAGAGTGGTGGAGACGGGGACCGCAACGACTTCAACCTCTAGTGAGTGGAGTCTAGGGATGTGGGGTGCGGGAGCGCAGCAGGCGCGGTGCCTGACAGCCCCTCCCACCCAGTGTGACGGACGCCGCGGAGCTCTGGAGCACCTGCTTCTCGCCTGACAGCCTGGTGACGCTCGTGCGTAACAGTACTGGGGATACGAGACATCAGGGTGCCTGCCACCCGTTCCTTCCCCCCACCCCCACCCCGTGGCATTGGTTCTAATAGCATTTCTAGAGTAGGGCAGTTTGGAATGTCCAGTGGGTCTAGGGGCCTGGGAGGTTGGTTAGTTACAATTCCTTGTTCCCAGCAGAAAGCCCGATTTGGCCTAAGTGGAGCTGAGGATATCCATTCCCGGTTCAGGTGAGTTCCAGTTACGGAGGCCACGTGAATCAGAAGCTTGGGATAGTGATAACACATTCTGGCCATAACACATACCTCCCTCCTTAGGGCAGCCTGCCAACAGCAGGCGGTGACTGTAAGCCTGCAAAAGGACAGAGCATTGATGACCCTTGTGGGGGACACCTCTGCCCTGGCCTTTGACCTCTCCAAGGTGCCAAGCCAGGAGGCAGCCCCCAGGCTGCAGGCTTTGACTCTCAGCCTGGCAGAGCGTGTATGCAACCTAGAGAGGCGGCTGGCAGGTACCATATGTGTGGGCACCTGTACTTTCCCTCGGGGACATGCTTTTGCAGACCCTCCTGACATTGAGTGAGATGCCATGGCTTTCTCCTAGCTGCAGAAGTGACCGCCACTAGCCCCATGAAGAACATCCAGCCAGCAGGCACTCAGTTCTTCTTACCAGGTAAGGGGTGGGCCTGGCATGTGGGTTGGAGCAGTTCTTTCTCTGAAACTGCCTCTCCAGATGCCTCATGTTTTAGGGAGAATCTTTCAATGTGGACAGAGTTCTTTGGAGTTCAAGATTTCCCTGATCCTATTTTCTGGCAGAACTCGATCACCAGAGAGGCAGCTCTGGGCCTGGGGTCAGGAGACGGTGTCCAGGGGAGTCTCTCATCAACCCTGGCTTCAAAAGGTACTTGCCACCTGTTTTTCCTGTCCTGGTCTGGTCCTTTTCCTCTATGCATTACATACTCTTCTCTTCTAGTAAGAAACCAGCTGGTGGAGTAGACTTCGATGAGACCTGAAGATAGTAAAGCCTGTGACCTTGCCAGGAGCCTGTCTGCAAGGAAAGGGAAGATCTAGGACCCCCTAGTCAGAGACACCCCTTGCTTCACTTCCCTTGTGGTCCTGCTATTGGGCAAAAGTGTCTCTCATCCCTTCCCCATCAAATAAACTGCTCCCTTGGGGAGAGATGCTAGGCCAGACTTGACTAGTGAAGGGTGGCCTTGGGGAGGGGGCCAGAGAAGACCCCTATGATGTACTGTGGAGTCCCTGGATGCAAACAGATGCATCAGGCTCTCAGCATCCAGGAGGCCTGGGTCTCAGGGTAGGCAACAGAGGTTTCTCAGACCTATTGTGTTGTTTCTGTGTGGCCGGCACAGAAGCTGAGAGGGTCCTGGTCTGGTAGAGCCAGGACTCTCTAAGGTTTAGAATGGTGTCCCATACTTCCAAGCCCCAACCCAGGTAGGACAGATCACACCTGTCCCATACAAAGATTCAGAGAGGAGTTGTCTTGGAGGCCACCACAGGGTGTCAGACAGTGGAAACCCCTTATATGATAGGGTTGGCCCACAGCCTGCGGCTAGACTGAGGAATGTAGGCCTGCCCCCACCCACTTGGCCAGGATCCCGAAGGCTGAGCTCCATGGAGCTCTGCTCCCCACCCTCCTTGGCCATCCAGGGCACCCCACCCAGCTCTGGCCTGACTGGTTTGGGAGACTAATCCAGTCCTCTAGATCACCGATGCCTCTGTGCCAGGGCAGCTGTAAGGGGCCCAGGCCTTTGTGCCCTACCACGGAGGAGGATGAACTGTTCTGTGCCCAGTGGACTCTCTTGCCTTTGTTATTTTGGGCAGCCACCTTTGTTTCTCATCATAGAATTGAGGTGGCGGAATTGTGGGTTTCTGGCCATTTGGACATCCAGGACACGGTTAGTTGGAGCAGAGATGCTTTATGGGGCTGCAGATGAGCGTATGGAGGTGGGGTGCTAACGGGGGTGCACAGCAGGCTGGTAGGCTGCCAGGATCTCTGCGCTGTGTGGACATGTGTATTTGAACTCTTTCTCCTGTAGTGCACTGTCCAAGTAGCGTCGAACGCAGGACAGTTCCGCAGGGATGGGCAGCTGGCGGAAGTGCGCACACACGGTCTGTGGGTGCGGTAGAGTGTGATGAGGGTCTCACTTGATGGCCCCCTACCCACACATACCCATCCCTCACTCACATCCACAATGTGCAGCTTGGGCAGCAGGCTGCAGTCAGCCAACGTGAACTGGTCACCATCGAGAAAGCGGCGGCGGGACTCACGAAGTCGTGGCTCCTGTGCCAGCTCATGGTCCAGTGGTGCACGCAGGTAGCTGTCCAGCCTGGTCAGGGCCCGGAGCAGCTGCTGATACAGGACTTGGGGGCAGTGGTAACAGTGAGGACTCAGCCTTGGCCTTGGGCTAGCCCTCCTGCCTATATCTGCTGGCCCGTGTCTCACCATTGTCCTGTGTAGGCACTGGGTTCTTGATGAAGGCAGAGAACTTGTGGAAGATGTCGTTGCCTGCTGTGTTGGACTCCCTGTACCTGGGTGCCAGGCTAGGGTAGCTGTAGGTGTGAGTGGTTCGAGAACTCCTATCAGACCCTCAAGTACACTGTGCCTCAAAGCACCCTTCCTACGCACTCTCCCAGGTGTCCCCCAAGGAGGTTCCATCTTTGCCCTCCTGCTCCATCAGTTGCTTACTCAGGTGGCCCCAGTGTCTCCTCCAGAAACTCCTCGATCTGCAGTGTGTCTGTCTTGACATCCCCATCGGACAGCAGGATGGGCAGCTGGGAGCCTGGTGCAAAGTCCTTCAGCACATCCAATGCCCTGTGGACACCAGGCAGAAGGGAGGTGGCTGGCCCGAGGTGGGCAGAGGCCAGGGAAGGGTCCAGGTAGTGTCTCACCTTCGTGTGTCCACTGTAGTGAGTGTGAAGGGCACACCCTTGAGGAGTAGGACCATGAAGAGCCGCTGACAGGAAGGGCAGTGTCCTACGCTCTCGCCATCCTCACTGGCCTGAGTGGGTGGAACAGAGGTGTTGGGCTTTGAGCAGACCCAGGAATCCTGACGCCTGGCTGGGTGGGACTCTTCGTCCCACTTCCATTGGCTCTGGAGGCACGCTAAGGCTCTGGCCTGGTTGGGTGTGGCATCTACAAGTGTCTAGTGAGGGTCCTTGAATGGATCCCTGGAATGGGGAGGGCAAAAACTGCGAACTTAAGAGGCCTCGGCTTGGGGTCCTGCCAGAGGGTTCCAGTCACCAGAGACTGGCTGAAGGGCGGGGCAGGCCAGAGAATCATCCTCTTGTGATTAACCCACACAACTGGGTATTGAGGCTAACAGCTGTCAGGGAAGGAAGGAAAGGGACCAAAGAGGACACTAAGACCTATTCCCACTCAGATCTGAGCACTGGCCTGACAGCTAATAGGGCTATCTCTGGCAAGCCCCCAGTCTGGCACATGATTCCCGAGTCTCTAGCTGAATGTCTGGTGCCAGCTACCAGATTGACACTTCCTTACCAAGGAGCTTTCTCCCAGAGCTGGGCCAGGTCCATGAGGCAAGGTAAAGAGCAGGACCCAGGCTCTCTGATCCTCCTTATGGTAGCTCCTCCCCCAAGATGCCTGGCTCTACTCAGCCTTGTGGGGCAGCTTAAACCCACCACAGGGATAGGGACTTAGGCACCATTAGGAAGATCCATCCCCTCCTTCTGAACCACCACCACAAGAAACCCAGCACCCCCTCCAGCCCAGCCTGCCCAGAACCTTCACAAAGAGCTGGAGTTTGGTGGTTTCAGCCATGGTGAGAGGAGGCATCCGGCAGCAGCAGGGCACAGGGTGTGCCTTGGGAGCTCTTTAAGTCTCTCTGGATGCTCCACCCTCCCCAGTCAGTGGGCCCGCCCCACGGAGCCACCTAGGCAACAGATAGGTTGCCAGAGCAGAGCCAGTCGTCTGTACAAGACCAGGGTGTCCATGCATAACAGTGACCACAGGGGGCCTGAGTCTCAGGGCCAGCTGTGAGTCTGGGAAGCTGGCTCACAGCAAAAGACTGAAGACTCAGTGTGATTGTGTGGAGCTGGTGTGGTGAATGCACACAGGGTTATCTCAGTGTGATTGTGTGGAGCTGGTGTGGTGAATGCACACAGGGTTG